GATAAAAAAATAAAGAAAAAAAGTAGAACAGACAGTAATTTTTTTATCTAAGCATTATTACATGTGATTTTCTATTTTGTTAAACAAGAATTTTCTTTCAATCCTTGTGATAATTATATATATATATATATTTCAATTACATTTGCTTTTCTTTTTATTTTTTTCATATATATGCCAGCCCAATGAAGATCTTAACCCTTGACCTTAGATATGGGTTTTATACATTTTTTTTTTTATCCAAGTTTCCCAATAAAAACAAGTCATGAGTGGGAAGTGGGGACTGTATTTGCTTGTTGTATTTGCCTATTTGGATTTACAATGGTGTGGTCGGAGCACATAATTAAATTTGTCGACAACCAAACAAATAAAATCAGTATAATTGTCTCTTTTCCAATGTTTGATACCTAAAAGTACGATAAATGCCCCAAAATAATTGTCCATATTTTCAACCAAATGCATCTTCCAAATTTCCTGGACTCTTTTCTTCATTTTTTATTTTTAAAAAAAAAATTTCTAATCTAATTCTTTAATCTGTAAATCATATATTTAGAATTGAATCAAATGCTCAAATATAATATTATTTGATTAATTAATTAACTTTGATAATTTTTATAGAAAAAATAAAAAATCATTTAAGTTGTTGAGAATATAATTAAGTAAAATGAAATCTGACCCAAATGTATGTTGTTGAATTTTATATGGCAATCTAGTTAACAAACTCAACTAATGCAAAATTTGTGTAGTTATGAAGAAATCAGTTACCTGTCATTAGCAGTTCCAATGAAAAAGATAATTATATATAAAGAATAATAATTATTATAAAAAGTTGTGTAGATCTGTCTTTCCGTGTAAATATCCTAACAACCAGCGTGCGTAGGAGGCAGCTAATCTTCAACATCGCGGGAGAGAATAATTGACTTTTGTAAAATTAAGTAATTAATATTATAATTAAGTAACTAATATTTAAATTCATAATATTTTATCACAATCAATTAAATTTGTAATATTTTATTTTGACTTAATTAAATTTTTAAATAAATATAATTTAGTTACGTGGTAAAATTTAATTAATTAACCCATAAATTATAATCAATTGAACTTTTAGATGGATAAAAAAAGAGAGAGAGAATAAAAAAAATTATTTTATTTAATTTTTACATATATTAATTACATTATGTGATAAATTTTAATATAATTTATTGATGTCACATTTTATTTTAGTTGGTAAAAAATAAATGATGTTAACTTTTTTTATTTAAATAAAGATTGAATTGGATATAAAAAAATGTTAAAAGAATTAATTAATTGTAATAAAAAATAAAAATTTAGACAATTTTTTAATTATAGTTCAAGGATTTTTTTTAACCCTTTAACCTTTATATTTCAAAAGAGTTAATCTTTTATATATATATATATATATATATAACTTTTTTTTTTTTCTAATGTCAAAGTGCAAGGATAAGAATATGATTGTAACCTTAAGTCGAAAGAAAGGAATCGTCAAATAGTCAAGAGAATTAAGGTTAAATCAAGTGAAAATTTTAAATCATTATTAGTATATAAATAGAGATGGTAAATGAACTAATAAACTAATTTCATGATTAGAGCTATAATTAAGAACGTGTTATTTAACGCTTTGATTTTTATTCTTTTTTTTTTTTGCCTACAAGATAAGAGATGAACAATTTAGACTTTAATCATACTTTTCCTTTATGGGTTGTCATCCGCTATTACATATATCATTTGAAGGATAATAATTGCCCTTTTAAATTTGCTTTGTATTGCTTTTTGTTCACTACTTGCATTTTACAATATATAAAATAATAATAATAATAAAAAAAAGGATGGAATGTGAAAAGTTGACTTCTCTTTCCACTCCCAAAGCCTAGCAACCAACCTCCATACCACAGCTACAACCCAAAGAACATTAAAAGCCAACAACCCAATCTACCCCCAATTTTCAAGGGTAATGATCGACGATAATTTTGGAGACAATTAAATAAACTGCAAAAAAAAAAAAAAAAAAGGAATAAAATGTAGATGAGATGAACGGCTTCCATGTGGCTGAGAAGGTGAGGCTTCAGATAAAATGTGAGTACAATTTTTCACGTTCACAAAGCAAAAGTTAATTTGAAGGTTTGTGTTCAAATCTTTAAGACAATTTGAAATTTAGACTTTGTTTATTTCATAAAAAATAATTTTTTGAAAAATAGTTTTTGAAAAATATTTATATTTTTTGAATTAAAAATTTTTTTTTATTGTTTGAATGAATTAATAAAAAATAATTTTCATTATTTGATTTTTTTGAAAAATTTATATTTTTTAATAATATTAGTATAATTATTAAAATATTAAAAATTATTTATTATTAAAATATATTGAAATTATTTATTATTAAAATTATTAATATTAAAAAATAATTATATTTTAATATAATATTTAATATTAAAATATTATGTTAATATAAAAAATACTTAAAATAAAACTATTTATTATTCTTTATATTATTTATTAATATATTATGATATTATTTATTAATATATTATTATAATCTTTATTAATTCAATTAATAATATTTATTATTATTTATTAATAGTATATTATTTATTATAATATTATAATATTATTTATTAATATATGATTTATTAATATATATTATTTATAAGTAAAATTATGCTAAAAAAATATTGATAAATAATTTTACTCATAGACAACTTATTTTCAAAAAATATATTTTTTTTTTAAATTCGTAAGATAATTTTTTTAAAAAATAACCTCATTTTTTATTAACTAGTAAATCATTTTCGTTGATCAATCAATTTTTTATCAAATAAATACTAAAAATATAAAAATTATTTTTTAAAATTATTTTCACGAAATAAATGAAACCTTATGATATGAAAGAGGAGAGGACCACTCGATTTTGTAATTTAAACTCATGGAAGCATATAATTTTTAATTATTATAATATAATTAATTAATAATAATTTAAAATTTTATAGGTTTCATCAAAATTTTATTTTAAATTTGCACGTATAAATGGTGGAGTTTTATTACATAATTTTTTATTATGATTAAATAATTATAAGATTTTAATAAAAAAGATTATAGGTCAAATGATCTCATAAAATATTATAATTATTTGTAATATTTTAATATATTTTGTTAAAAAATAAACTTATTGAACTGAATAGGCCTAGTCGAATTATGATAACAAAATTTTCAAGGTTTACTAAATTTAATCGGATCCTTCATAAATATAAATTTAAAATATCTCACATAATTAAAAGTGGATAAGTACGTTAAAATAAGATATTCATCGATACTTTTAAAAATTAAAAGAAATTTTTTTTAAGAACACTCAAAAAAATTTTTTTGAACACTCTTTCTAATAAAATTGATAAATCAATCGATATTTCTTAAGTGAATACCATAAATACAAAAACAATATAACTATGCGACGCTTTAGACAACACACCGATAAATTTGTAAGCGGAAAACGAAAATAAAGTTTCTGAAAAGTGCTATCTATTTTTTTATCCATCACAGTTAAATAAAACAATGCATTTTAAATTATAAATAAACACTAAAATTTCTTAAATGCTCATTTTAAAAATATAAATGATACATTAATACTCATAAACTATTTAGATTCGATTCGAAAAAAATTCAAATTCGGTTCGATTATTATCGAGTCGAGCTCGAATTCAAGTAGTTCGACTCATCAATCGAACAAAATTTGAATATTTTTATACTTGATTCGAGTAATCGAAAGTTTAATTGAATTTTTATATTTAAATATATTTTTATTATTTTAATTAATAAAATATCTCAAATTTAAGTTTGAACTCGAAATAAATAATCGAACTCTTGTCGAATATACAAATCGAATTTAATCGAACGAATTTGAGTAGCTCGATTTTAATCACGAATCAAATTCGAGTTAAAAAAATAAAATTTGATCAAATATCAAGCCACGAATCAAAATCAAACTCAAACTCAAACCTTTTATTATACCAACTCCACTCGACTCAATTATACTCCTAACTCATTTCACGTAATCACATAGTTAACCACACAGTAGGAAATGGAAATGGTCAATGGGTTGACCATCGACATCATTTGGGTTCACATTTTTTTTTTTTTTTTTTGCCAATCGTTTAGGTTCACAATTCACTGCTGCTTTTTAGGCGTCCTAACATGTAAAAGCAACAACGATTCACGGCTGCCTGCACCATAAGCTAAATTTTTAGCTGTCTCCGTTTAATTTTTGTAGGATCCTGATTCTTTTTTTCTTGCCTGTCTTTTCGTCTTGAAAATCTGATGGAAAACGAGAGTACGAGACTATTAATTGTTCTGTTTTTTTCTTGCGAGGGGATCATTCACATTGCCAATTGCTTCACAATTAATCTATTCTTAACACAAAAAAAAAAAAAAAAAGGCTGGGAATACATGTCCACAAGTGAAGCCTTGAACAGAGATTTACGCGCTGAACCCTACCCTAGGCATTAAATTATTAATAAAAATTATTTTGTTTAATTTAATTTCAAATATATTTTAAAATATAAAATATTAACATTTTTTAACAATTTAATAATTTTTTTGAATTTTTATATCTATTGAACTCCGTAAACCAAACTGAATCTTGAATAAGATTTTTAAAATATTAGTTGAGCTTAATCCATCCTAACCCATGAACATTTCCACTAAATATTTTAGGATTGAATTTAATTGAGCAAGTATAATGATAGTCTTTGGGGGGCGGGGGGAGGGGGAAGAAAAGAAAAGAAATCGTCAAAATGGTTATGGGATCAATCCTCCAAAATCTATGGATATCTTAGCTTCAGAGTTCACACAGATAGAAAACATAGAATTAGGTCGGCTCTTATTAAAATCCACGTAGCATTAGATATTTGGTTCATTTATCCAAGGACAAGTTGGCACTAAAGATGAGAAAATGAAAGCCGCTGAAAAAAATGGCGACCTTCCATTCAAAACATGCCACTTCACTCTCACCAACTAGCCCAAATGGCCACCCGAGTCTATCTTTCCTTCCATGCAAAGACAATTAGTCTTCAATGACTTCAAAGATTCACGACAATTTTATCACATTTTAAAAATTATGGAACCTCTTATTATCAGGCTTTTTAAGAACGCCTTAGAGCCATAGACATGGCAGTTGCCAGGAAGAAGCATGAGTTATCTTCCAACATAAGTCGAATCGGATCTGTTTTTAAAACAGATTTGGAGGACGGAGGATGGAAGGAACATCTACAAGGAGTTTATGAAGAAGTGGTTGTTTCTACCTGAAACGCAGGACAAGGATTGGATTAGATTGTTTTTCTTGAGGAATACAGGAGAAGAAGATTAGATAGACTTTGGTTTTGAAATATATATATATATATATATATATATATATATATAATGGGGTTTGCAACAACTATAGGGAAGTATCAGCTAGGGAGAACGATTGGAGAAGGTTCCTTTGCCAAGGTCAAGCTGGCTGTAGACACCATCACCGGTCATCATGTTGCCATCAAGATTATTGATAAGGCCATGGTCATGGAAAGCAATCTCAAGCATCAGGCGAATTTCCAATCCTTGCTTTGTTTTATGTCTTCTTATCCATGTCTTGTTTTCTTACCAAAAAAAAAAAGTTTGTTATGGCTGACAAATCAACACTCAAATTTCAGGTACAACGAGAGATAAGAACAATGAAGCTTCTCCATCACCCCAATGTTGTAAGAATACAAGAGGTGTGTTTTAGTATTTCAGGATTGGTCAACTGGCACCAATTTTTGTAACCTCATTCATTTGTAGAGATGAATCCTGGCTGCAGGTTATTGGCTCAAAGACGAAGATATACATAATAATGGAATACATCGCAGGAGGACAACTTTCAGACAAGTTGGTGAGGCTTATCAGACCGCACCAGGGATTCAATAAAATTTTGATGTACAGCTTTTCAATCTACATTTCTAATCCTCTTTGCCCTTTCTATCCAGTCTTATGCCAAAAAACTAAGTGAACCACAGGCAAGAAAACTTTTCCAGCAATTAATAGATGCAGTAGACCATTGCCACAGAAAAGGAGTCTATCACAGAGATTTAAAGGTACGCGTAACATGCCAGTTTTTCTCTGTCATCACCGATGCACACTGACAAGTCATTTAAACTAATTAAGATTGGTGTTAATATTTTCTGTACAGCCAGAGAACTTGCTTTTGGACAGCAAGGGAAACCTCAAAGTAACTGATTTTGGACTGAGCGCTTTGAGGAAGGTAGACACAGCCTTGCCATTTTCTTAAATAAATTTTCATTTGTTCTAATTAATTCCAAACAGTTCTCATGGAAATTTGGGTAAAAATTCTGACAAATTACAGCCTGGAGATATGCTAACTACAGCGTGCGGCTCTCCGTGCTATGTAGGACCTGAGGTAAGAGACATCTCTTCCCGTTCAGTTGTTGTAAACTGTCCAAATTCAATGGTCGAAAACAGGACAAAACACTTTTGAAAATAAAGGAAGAACCAAAAGAATATATAGAAATACAGAACAGCTAACTGTTCTTTAAAAAGCAACTTTGCCTGATTAGGCTGATGATTATCTTTTGGTGAACAGCTGCTTGAAAATAAGGGCTACAATGGGGCAGCTGCGGATATTTGGTCTTGTGGTGTCATCCTTTTTGAGCTACTTGCTGGCTATTTACCATTTGATGATCGCAATCTTGTGGTTTTATACAGTAAGGTATGCATTTGCAAATAGGAACATAACCTGCATCTTGTACAATAAGTTAACCTACACTGATGCTTCCACTTCTGTGAAGATATCTGGAGCACAATACACATGTCCACCATGGTTTACAGGATGTCAGAGGCAGCTGATTGCTCAAATGCTTGATCCAAATCCCAAAAAGGTATAACTCCAAGACAGTATATGAGAGAGTTTTCCGAGTTAAAAACAGATGAATAATTTCTCCTTATATTACTTCAGAGGATAACAATTCCAGAAATCATTGAAGATGCATGGTTTCAAACAGATTATATACCTTCATGCGGCTATGAATATGATGAGAAAATATACTTGGATGATGGTAGCACTGCATTCGATACAGTTGAGGTAAATACTCAATTAGTACTAAGAGTTTCATAGCTACAACTAACCATCTGAAATACCATACAGGAACACAATGCAGAGATGAATACACACAAATCGTCAAATTTCATAAATGCATTTCAATTGATAGCAATGTCACATGATCTGGATTTATCAGGTCTTTTTGAAGGACAGGCAAGTCTGTTAAATCAAAACCAGAATTTACATCAGATGAGCATCCTTAGTTCATTCCCAAATTAAGTAAACCACTTTCTTCTTACGTAGGATGACAAAAGGCAGAGGACAAGGATTGGATCCAAGCATACAGTTAATGAAACCATAAAGAAAATAGAAACTGCTGCTATGGATGTGAGTCTGTCAGTTGAAAGGATGAATAATTTCAAGGTACAAACCGCTCATGTTCCTAATTCTTTGACAAGTGACTAATTTTGTATCCAACTTTTTATTCTTTTTCATCTTCTCAGATGAAAATTCATCCAAAGCAGAAGATGATTAGATGTTGTAGATCATCTTATGACCTATCAGCTGAGGTAATTAATTGCAAGATGCTCTTCATAGAAGACAAAATATCAGAAAGTCTCACCACTTTATGTATCAATGTCAGGTAATTGAGGTTGCTCCCACAAATTGCGTTGTAGAAATATCAAAATCTGCAGGAGAACTAACAGTTTACAAAGAGGTATAATAATCAGTTCTTTAAGTAGATTATCTTTGCTGAATAATGATTATCTTCTAAGCCTATATATGATGACGAGCAGTTCTGCAAGAGTTTATCAAGTCTGTTGATAGAGAAATCAGATATTTCATCACAAATTCAGGAGTTCGACACAGCCGACACCAATAGCAATAGTATTATAATGAATGAATGGTAAATTTAACATAGATTGCCAGTGTAATATTTTGTAGATTGAAGCTGCAGGCTCACTATTTTTTTCAATCATGCAGCTCCAAAGAAGACAAAGAGAAAGAAAATAAAGACCCAGGAGGCTATTTCTCCACATGAAGATCGGCTTAATTATTTGTCTTAACTGTCTTCTTTCCAGCATCATGAGCAATTCCCCAGGAAGACCAGAGGCATATCAACACACAATCTATTTCAAGTGCAGGACAAAATTATTGCCACTGGGCATCATTCTTCACTCAAAAAAAAAGTCCTAGCGACATCATTTGCACAGCTATTTTCATGTTACATGTGAAGTTTGTATCCTTTTACTTTCTCTTCTCTCTTAAATTTAACACTGCACCATATTAATCCAAGATGTATGTCAGAGGTAGCCTTTTTTTTGTTTTTTTTTTTATCAATTTTTTAGTTTAAAAAGTTAATAACACAAAGGAGTTTCTCAACCGTTCAAATTTCCCTGTATGTAAGACATTATCTCTCCTGAAAACGCCATTCTCATACTCAACACGATTGAACTTATTCTATGCTGTCTAAAGCCCTCATTTAATCGTCATTCAAAGTGAAAAGAGTTCCGGACCACATCTTTAACCCTCCAATCTCTAGATTCCCCCCACCTCTCAAGTCCCCTCTCCCTTCTCGAAAACTCATATTCTCTTTGTTCACTGATTTCTCTACAGTCACTCACCTCAATAACAGCTATTGACCGAGTTCTTTGATATACCAAATCAGATCTCAAGATTTACCTAAATTCAAAACCACCAAGAGGTTAGTTGTCTAAGACATGAAACCAACACGGTGAATACTGCAAGACCAATGAGGGGTTATGTGAGGAAAGGAGATTCGATGAGCATGATCTAATTAATGCAACTTTGGTATTGTAATGCAAAACATAACACAATGGACATCAATTAAGTCTCTCCGATATTCGAACTGATTCATGAATGCTTTTACCTGAACTTGCAAAATTCAAGCCTGCAATCACTTTGAGGTTCAATTGACTGGTAAAAAATAATCAGTTTGATGTGCCTAAGTAAGTATGAGGTGTCCTAAATACTCCACCTAGTCAGAAGCATGCAAACTTGTGCATACTGGAATTCAACACAAAATTAAACTACCAATTTTTGGATACAAAATGGAGCTTTCTAAAGAAAACGGCTAAAGAAACTACTAAAAATCGGAAATACTGAAATAGAATCAATGCGACTACATTTTTCTTAACTTCAAGGAATAATATATCCTCATACATAAATTTTAAACTGCATCAAGTATGCTCTACCAACAAGCTATTTAGATTTAAATCCTAATTCGATAGAATTTTGACCAACTTTGATATCTGTAGGCTGAAAATTAAAATGTGTTGCTTACATTTTATATCGTACTTAAGCTGTTAACTGACTCTGTTTGATGCACAAAAAAAGGAATTCCGCATTAACATCATCCAAAACCTTAATTATTATTCTACATTTTATATCATACACAAGTTGTGGCATATGATTGGCTAGAATATAACTCCAGTTCTGATTTGTACATTTGTTGCACTGATAGTCTAAACATACAAGTCTCCACTTATGAAGAAAAAGAGCCTATAGAGATTCAACAGAAAGCCTTCAGTTCACTCAGTCATATGCACAATTACTTATGTATGACCAGACTCGAAGATATCAGAAAGATTAGGAATGACAAACTGATCTTTTAAGCTAATTGCATTTACATGTTTCCTTTTTAATAAGATAAAAAATTAAAAAAGAAAAACTAAAGAGTCAATGCTGGCAACTGTAGTACAGATGAAGTATATAGAAAAGAATAGCAATGGGGAACTCGAATTTTTACCCTAAGTGGGATAGGAGGGTATTAAATTTTGAAGATAATTAGGGGGATGGATATAGTTTTAAATTTTTTATTGAGTATGAGTATAAAATAAGATAATATAACATTTGCCTCGTATTCGTATTTTATATATTTTTATATATTTAATAATATAAAATTTATTTTAAATTTATTAGAATTAATATATTTATATTTATAAAAAAATTACTTAAATGTGTAAAATAAAAATTAAAAAATATTTTTTTATAAATTTAAAATTCTCATTTATTATAAATATATGAATAGATATAATTTAAAAAATGGGACATGAAAATAAAAAATATTCAACCCTTGACGTCGTTAGAAGAAAAACTCCACTGCACGCACATATAACATGGGCGCAAGAACATTTGCACAGAACTGAACACCGAAAAAGAAAATAGAGGAGAAAAAACAGACAAAAAGGACCGGACAACTGGAAAAGCCACAAAGAGACAATTTTCAATCAACAAAGCAAAGACAAGCTATGCATAGAGCTTCGTTTTAAGGTTGAACCAACTATAATTTCATTCAAGTTTAAACAATGTCCTTGGTATTTGGCAGCATTATAGCTTTTTCAAATTGTTACTTTCGAAAAAAAAAAGAAAACCACTTGACTTGCTTGGTTCATAATTTTTCCCAGACCAGTGTAAGGTTACAATATCCTACAATAAAGTAGACCTGCAAATGCAGTTGCACCTCGTCTTACAGGAATTTTCCAGGACATGCTTCACTCTGTTAAATTAGAACTACCAATTCTCTTTCTATCTATCATCCAGGACAGTAGCTCCTTGTTGACCTAAGAAGCTGGCGACTCCTTCCATTCTTCTGATCTCAATTTTGATCACAGGCTACCCTTTGCCAAAGCAACCACCATGCTGGACTTGCATGTTGTGCATTTGTCCAATATGGATATTTATGTTGCGCTTGAAGCAATAATCACAACAATACAGAAGCAATAGACAACAATCAATAATCAAATGCGCAGGAAAAATAAAGCACACCAAGATTTATGTAGAAAACCCTCCAGTGTAGAGGGAAAAACCACGGGCCACCAGAAAAATCTTCACTATCAAATAATAGTTATACAAAGTTCTTCTCTAGCTTAAACTAGAGCTAATCAACAACTAGAGAAACAATTGGAGAAATCTCACCAAATAAGTGACTCAACAAATACACCCTGGATTTGTTCCTAGAGAGCTTCAAACCCGATCTTCACCATTCAGAATGTATAACTCTGAATCATAAACCTCCTGACAAGGTTTCAACTCAATCGGACCACGGATCGACTTCCGTTTAACCAACTCTCCCTTCTCCTTTTTCTCTCTCTGCTTTTCCTGGCTTTTCTTCTTTCTCTGCTTGGTTGTCGACACACACATAAAACAACCCCACCTCTTTTTTATTAAGTAGCTAGGGCTCTGTGTAAAATAAAAGATCAAGGCCCATGGCCTTTACTTGGTCCAAAACCACTTACATGGGACTGGACCCCATTTTCCTAACAATCTCCCCCTCCAGCCCCATTAGGAGGAGATTCATCACCATAGCAGTTTCATTTGGAACTTACCTTGGCCAGGGAACTCATTCCGGCCAAGTTACTGCAAAGCTCAAGCTTTTCCCTGGGAAGTATCTTAGTCAACATATCTGCCACATTTTTATCAGTATGGACTTTCTTCAATAGCATCTGCTGTTCTTCAATCACTGAACGTAACCAATGATATCTAACATCAATGTGCTTTGTTCTAGCATGGTACATGGTATTCTTACTCAAATCTAAAGCACTCTGGCTATCACAAAATACCACATACTCTTTCTGATTCAACCCCAATTCAAAAAGAAAACGTTTCATCCAAAGCATTTCTTTACATGCTTCAGTTGCTGCAATATACTCAGCTTCTGTAGTTGACAAAGCAACACACTTCTGCAACTTAGACTGCCAAGATACAGCTCCTCCTGCAAAAGTGAACAAATACCCTGAAGTAGATTTCCTACCATCAAGATCGCCTGCCATGTCAGCATCAGTAAACCCTTCTAGAATTGGTTGTGAAACTCCATAAGTCAAACACATTTTTGAGGTACCCCTCAAATATCTAAAAATCCATTTTACTGCTTCCCAGTGAACCTTCCCTGGATTAGAAAGAAATCTGCTCACTACACCAACTGCATGAGCAATGTCAGGCCTTGTACAAACCATAAGATACATTAAAGAACCGACTGCAGAAGAATAAGGAATACTAGACATAGCTAGTTGCTCTTCCTTAGACACTGGACAAGATTTCTTACTTAGATGAAAATGGTTGGCAAGTGAACTGCTAACTGATTTAGCATGTTGCATGTTGAATCTACCAAGCACTCGTTCAACATACTTTTCCTGTGACAACCACAGCTTTCCAGCTCTCCTATCTCGGATAATGTCCATACCAAGAATCTGCTTTGCTGGACCTAAATCCTTCATATCAAAGGACTTAGACAATTGTTCTTTCAACCTGCAAACCATACTAGCATCTTATCCTACAATCAACATATCATCAACATATAATAATAGGATAATGAAGTTACCATTAGGGAATTGTTTAATATACACACAAGAATCTGCTGCTGTTCTTTTATAGCTATGACTCACCATAAAAGAATCAAACTTCTTGTACCACTGTCGCGGAGCTTGTTTCAAGCCATACAAGCTTTTCTTCAATTTGCAAACTAAGTGCTCTTTCCCTTTCACTTCAAAACCCTCAGGCTGATTCATATAAATGTCCTCCTGCAAATCACCATGCAAAAATGCAGTTTTAACATCAAGTTGCTCAAGCTCAAGATTCAAACTAGCTGCCAATCCCAGTACCACTCGAATAGAACTCATTTTTACAACTGGAGCAAAAATCTCATCAAAATCGATGCCTGGTTTCTGAGAAAAACCTTTTACTACCAATCGAGCTTTGTACCTCACTAGTTTGTCACCATCCTTTTTCAACTTGAACACCCATTTATTCTTTAATGGCCTCTTCCCTGTTGGAAGTTTAACAAGATCATAAGTACTATTCTTTCGTAATGACTCCATCTCTTCTTTCATTGCTTTTAACCAGTGCTCTCTATCCGGAGTAGCCTGCACATCTTGAAAGCTTTCTGGCTCCCCTTCACTGGTAACTAAAATAAAATCTGAACTTGGATACCTGGTAGATGGCCTGCGCTCTCTAGTAGATCTCCTGAGCTGAGACTCTACATCACTTGATGCTGAAGGTAGCTCCCCCTGCTCAACACTCTCAGGTAGAGAGGATTGCTCCCCCTGCTCAAAACTAATAGCATCTGACTCATCACCAACTATGGCTGGCTCATTCATATCCCCAAGTTCTGTTTCTGGCTCATTTTCACCATCTGTGGCTCTTTCCTGTGAAATCCCTGTCGGTGTTGAAACATCACACTCAACAGTAACTCGTGTAGTCTTCTCATTTTTCTCAAGGTCTGCTATGGTTTCTTTTTCATGAAAGACCACATCTCTGCTTCTGACTGTCTTTCTCTTTACTGGATCCCATACCCTGTAGCCAAATTCCTCATCACCATATCCTACAAACACACACTGTGTAGCTTTGCTGTCAAGC